AATACTATTCAAAATTTCCATTATTTTTCCTTAAAACACATAGCTAAAAGATTTTCACTACACTGTATTGTTAGGCAGGAAATTCCAGAACAACCCTGGATATAATATAATACCCTGATTAGATAACTATCTATTTGTAAATTACTTTTTGTGAACAAAAATGTAGGATATGGCATATACTTGAAAAGGTAGTCATAAAAAGAATGTAACCAGATCCTGACCACAGCATAACCCTTTCTTCTCCTTTAGCTTTAGTGAAGTTTGGTAAATTCACACCAGGCATAGATTTGGTATGGCATGTTTTCAGGGTTCATTTGCATTCTCCCCAGTGAATTCCCTATACTACAAAGGACCTTGTGCACTGCTTGCTTTGCACACAGAATAATGAAGATGCCATGTGATCTGCTAGCAAGAGAGCTGTGAGGAAAATTGAGTAATTATTACTGACTACATTTTGTACAATCTTTGCATAAGCAAGAAGGTCTTATTTTGAAAACATTTATCTTTTGTCCAAGCCATACATTACAGTTTAATTTGACAGAGGGGAAGAACCCCAAAGAATAGGAAATTCTCCATGTAAAAAATGGAGAATGTCTTGCAAGACAACCAGGATATAAATATCTCAATGAAGGTATTTCATCTAGAAATAGAAAGATGTAATAAGTTTTCAAAGATAGACACATCTTTTTCTTTGAGGATTTTTGAGATTTAAACATGCAATTGAGTAATGAAGATGATCATTGTGGACAAAAGCACTGTTATCTTGTGAAATCAGTATCAACTTCCATGTAGCATTCACTGCTCCTAAGAACACAACCCCTCTGTTTTCTCAAGTGTCCATTTGTGCCTCTCACATGTCACTCTCACTACAGATGTGCATCTTACACTCATTTTTTTGGCTCAGCCTCCTCCTGCTCATCTCAAATATGCAGACCCTCTAGGTTCACTAAGTGCTTCCAACAGAGCAAGACAGAAAACTAATGAGCACCTTGGCAGATACTTGGCCACTGGTCGGATGGGGCTCATCCCATTTAACTGTTAGTGAACTCTCATGGTTTTCCCATATGAAACTAAGCAGTGCTACGGCAGAAATCAGGAGCTGCACAGACCAGGAATTAGTCCTGACCAGCTCTATGCCACCACCATCATTTTGTGAGTAGAGCACAGGAAAAGCTAAGCCATATGGATACCAGCCTTTTCATGCTTCTGGTCCTCAGGACCACAAAATGCCCTTCATAATTTTACTAATACAGATGTATCCTTAAAAGTCAGTTCTCTGACTGCTCAAGAAGAGATGGCTGACATCCAAATCAGAAAAGCCTGGAGCTATTCATACAGAAACAGGAACTCTGTAAGAGCCTGCCAACAGAAGAAACAGATGTTTTCTGTGCTACAGAACTTAGAAATCCTTGATAGCTACTCCCTACTGAATCAAACAAAACAAACAACAAAAGATAAACCCAACCAAAATCCAAAACAAATCTGGGGTCAGTATTAGTTTAACATAGAACCATAAACCCTAAAACATAGTTCTCTTTGGCTGAGATTTAAGCACTCAAGCAGATAGATGTGTATTTATGCCCTCAAAGGAAAAACCATGACAGCTGGCCAAAACTGAGCTCTGATGGGGCTTCACAAGTTCCTCTCAGATTCACAGATAAAAATAGATGTTCTGTCAGTAGCAAGACAAACCACAAGGAAAAGTCTAATTTGTCCTAATGAAAGAGGATTTGGAAATGAAAGACAATAATTTAAAAGTAAAGTAATCATAAAAATGTGGACAAGATTGCCTTTGGCAATGCAGGACACCCACTCTGCCTATGTTTGACTTTAATTCTGGTTGAAGCATGAAATTACTGCACTACTAAATTCCATAGAAAATGGGGAGCCAGCTAAATCCTGACAGGACTATAGAAAGAGGAGACCATAATAAGGATGTGATGACTAAAGTAGTCATGCCAAGCTGGAAGGAAATTGGAGAAATGACATTTCTCTAAAACTAGAAAATTAAGTTCTTAATGCTGGGGCTTCACAACAACCACTGAAGGACTGTAAACATTACATGAGGAAAATACACTACAAAGAAACTTGCTCAAGGATGGAGGAGCAAGTTTTTGAAGTACCCATCAGCAGCTTGTGAAGAAAACTGGCTGCACATGGACTGAATAACAGAGATTCAGTTCAAAGGAAAATAATTTAACATGTCTGATTTTGGAATATATAGTAATGTTTAAGAGCACTGAGAAGACTGAAGTGAGAACCTGAAAAACATGCAAAGATGAAATGCTGCAAAGAGTATACTTACTGGAAAGAATTTAATAAAGTATGCTTGTGTAGGGCATGAGGGCTGTGAGGCATTCAGGCATGGTGTTCACATCTTTGGGGAAAAGCTGAAGGGTTACCATGACCAATAAAGTAATGTAAAGAAAAGTAAAATCAGATGTAGCTCCAGAGACAGCAAGACTGACTGATCTTATCATATTCATGCTTTTGAGAAATAATTACTTCTTCTGGCCTTTATTTTTCCAAGAAATTTTGGTGATGTGCAGAGTATTTAAGACTGATTACTGCACAGAGATTTAGGATATTAAAAATTTCTATAACTCAAGTAAATCACTGAGCTTCAGAGATGCCTCATCCTGTGTGTGCCTTAAACCCATCAGCACATTAACATTTACTTTTTTTGCTTGAGCATCATTCTTCCTTTATAATTTATTTCATCATTTGCTATGAAATTTTTGGAATTCTTAGGTGCTTATCTGTCCTCAGTTAAGATACCCTTCAGTTGTGGACCTATATTTTATAATGTTGCCACCCATTTTCTTCACTGACATACTTTCAACTCAAATTTGCACCTACAAGGTGTGTTCTCAGTACATTGACAGCAGAATTGATTGTAATGTCCAGATTGAAAACAAGCAAAAGAAAACCAACACAAAACCAAAGAGATTCAAAAAACAGCACTGAGTAATTTTGGTTACTGAGCTACAGATTCCTCAGCATAAACAGAACAGCAGGATGTAAGATTATAAGTGAGCTCAAGGGAAAATGTGGCTTAATGTAGGATGTTGATTTTTCTAAAATGAAATGGAAAAATCAGACTATATCACTTCACTGAGCTTTAACATTAGGAAATGGTCTGAATTCACCCTTTTGTTCTCTTTCTCATTATATTAATATCTTATTCTTCAAATCTAGGGAAATCAAGAGGTGATAGGTCACCCTGCAATAACTAAAATTTCATATGGATATCTAGCAGGGTGTTAACTCATGAAATTTACGTCTCCTTCACTACTTTAATGTCACTACTTTGCTCCCCTGCGACATGAACAGGTATCTCCTTTTCTTGCCTCCAGAAGTGCTAATTTGCACAGTAGGATACTGACGAAATTGTTGCAAGGTAAAAGGAGTTTGAAACCTGGCTTTCAAAAGGCCCTTAAAAAGAAAAGGAAAAAAAAAGGAAAGGAAAAAAAAAGGAAAGGAAAAGGAAAAGGAAAAGGAAAAGGAAAAGGAAAAGGAAAAGGAAAAGGAAAAGGAAAAGGAAAAGGAAAAGGAAAAGGAAAAGGAAANAGGAAAGAAAAGAAAAGAAAAGAAAAGAAAAGAAAAGAAAAGAAAAGAAAAGAAAAGAAAAGAAAAGAAAAGAAAAGAAAAGAAAAGAAAAGAAAAGAAGAAATTTCTGTGGGAATAAGGAAAACATAAAGGGTAAAAATGTGAAAGGAGAAAATGAAGAGAGATATTAGAAATAATTTTTCCCCGTCCTTTCTTTAAAAAAAATGCAAACACAATAGTAATGAAACAGAGACAAATAGCACTGTCAGAAAGAAAAATGCAGAAGGTAAGCACCACTACTGAACATGTCACTGAAGTCTGTAAAATAGAAAATGATACAGAATATGTCACACTAGATTGTTTGGGAGTCTCCGTTGACCTTTAAGTTGCAAAATAATTTTGTGTAATGAAGAAGTAATGGTAACAAAATTAGAGTTATGAGGGAAACTTCAGCAGGATTGGAAAAAGAGAAGAGGAGGGAGGGGGAAAAAAAGAAAGTGGTATGTTACAAAGTACAAGAACTTGGCAAAAACTCAGTCAAATCAGAATGCTCTTTAGAACAGTGGTGGTTAAGCACCTCAGAAAAACAGAGCCTGCACAGAAGATCATTGTGGAATAATCTGCTATGGGAAGGCTATTCTAATCCCCAATCAAGTAGATAATTTTAATACAAAGACATGAGGCAGATATCCCTTCCAAAACCTTCTCATTCTTAAGGGTTAACGGTTTTCAGACTTCTCATTTTCTTATCACAGATATTTCAGATGATGAGTGAATTGAAGCCTACACAACCTGAAAGTTCCTAAAGATGCCACTGCAAAACCAGTTTTCCTAGCTACTGCTCTCCAGCTCTCAGGAGAGAGCTACAGTTTCCCTCCAAAACAATGTCTCTGAAAGAGAGTTTAGGTGAGACACTTGCTGCAATTATGGTATCATATTGTGTATTGCTAAACAGTTTTACAGATGTACTTTAATTTTTGCAGTTTTATACGCCATAGGAAAAGTAGAAAGAATTAACATTTTCTATGAATTTCCAATCATTTGTGCAAAAGTTTTAGAGCTGAGTATACATGTACAGAATTACTATGTGGAAAAGCAGGAAGAGTATTTACAATTGCATTAACAGCACCACAGTCTCCTCATGAGCACCTTCTCTCTGAAGTGCCTCATAGTGTCCAAGACATGAAACTGAGACACAGAGCAGCTGTGTGACTTTCCTATGAACAGGCAGGAAGTCAACAGCAGATCTAGGAGCAAAACTTGGTGTACACCAACCTCCACAGAGGCAGGTTATTACAGGGGTGACAGAGGAGAGGCAAATTCGGTGCCACACGTCAGCAAGTAAGCTTTCAAGAGAAGTATGCCAACATATGCTGGGCTATGAGATAACTGAAATATGTTGCTATTTTGATCAGCTCATCACTGTTTCTTGCCCCTGAAATATGCCTTACTTTCTGTTGCAGCCACAGCCTCGGGAATCACCTCCAGGAGTGTTTGCTGATGTCCATCAGGCCCAGGGCTCAGACTTCTTTTCTAACTGCTGCAGTTGTGACATTCATGTCTTCATCGCAGAACAGATCTGGAGCCTCTCCTGTGAAAAGACAAAGAGGTAGGTAACATGTGACAAATAATTTTCTACATGGTATTTAGCCCAATGTGATTTAAGCACATAACAAGAGCTACAGTATGATGCTACATATATCTAGTAACAAAACAGTCTCCTCCTTCTCCCTACGTCTTTTTGCCTAATAGGATTTTTTTTTAATTTTTAAGGGGTAGAAAACAACTTTGTTTTGAATTTTCCCTGATAGGAACTTCACTTCTAAATTATGTTCCCCTCAGAATGGTGATTCTTTTTGTCACAGGCTGTTTAAATTGTTTACTAGTCTGGTTGCAAAAGTAAATGTAACTTTATAAAAAATCTTTCAAGATGCACTCCAGGTGTCCAGAGGTGTGGTTTCCTCTTCCATTTTATCCCCACACTCAGAGTTCTGATTCTCTAATGTTCGAAACATGGGTGAAGCTTCATTGCTACATGCTACACTTGTACAGTCATGGCAACATTGCCTGAAGTTAGTGAAATCACACCAAAGCAAAAATGACATTAAGTCAAAGGAACATTCTCATTTCCTCCCAGATCAATACACTTTTGCATGGTAAACCTTAGCAATTTTTCTCCTCAACAGGTCATGCTTTCTTAACCAAGTTTGTCTCAATGCTCAGGTTGGATGGCTTAACATGGCCTCTCTAAAATCTCCCCTACAAATACCTGCAAGAGAAATAATCTCTTTAAAGTTCAATGAAAACACAGATCATTTGTCATTGGAAAAGATCTTTCAAGAAATTTGTTGCTTTAATCACCTGATGCCAACAAGTCATTAATCAGCACAAGAAAGCATTCATCTGGAACTTGGGCATCTGTCAGCAAAAACACTGTGGGCATGTTCTTGGCACCCGTCTTGGCAAGATCTACCTGTAAGGAAAGGAGGCAATCACTCATATTCTGTTAAAATGTTGATACAGAAAAAGTGTGAAATACATATTTGTGGTGGCAACACATTGCTGACTTCTCTTTACTTTTTTTCAGTTTAAATAATCACTAATTTGCTGTATAACATCCAAAGTGAAATGCAGTTTGCCATTTTTTCCCCTGTATCAGACACTGAAGTTTTGACATTATCTAGTGGTAAAGATTGAAGAACTCTCCCCACAAATGTACTAAAAAGGGATCTTGCAACCATAAAAGCTCCCATCAAGAATAGCCATTACCATACCAAAAAATGTGTGGGAATGGCATTGAAGAATCAGATCCATTTTAAAATCTGTTTTTTTTTCTGAAAGACCTAGTGAATTTATTTAGGAAATCTTTCTTATCTGCAAAAAAACCCCAACAAAACTGAGGTGTGCACTGTTGCCCTGAGGGAGACATGGTGTGGGATCATGTGGTATAAACATGGAATGCTTTTTGGCTTGGGTCTTCAGAAAGAAACCAACTCACATCAGTTGCATTCGAGTGTGACCACATTTCAAATACAGAATAAGGTCAATGTTGGTTGTTATGACCACGCTGTCACAAAACCTAGCAAAGCAAATCTTTAGGCTCCTTAGCAGAGGCTTACAAATTTTCCTGCTTGGAAACAGCAGGGAGGAAATGACCGCTTAAGTAAATCCACATCTTACTCTGCACCTCATTTGAGCAGGGAAGGAGGGCGCAAGAAGTTGGACACCATGAACACACTGAAGAGCAATCTGCCTTTTTCAAAGCAGGAACATCATCTACCTTCCCCTGAAAGCCAGAGACTGAGAAAGCCTTGAGCTACACATACAGTGGCAGTTTGGCCCTGGACCAAGGAAACAGAAGGGCTTTTTGGGGACTGGCATCCACCAAATTTGGCCACAATCAGATCCTCCTTCAGCCACATCTGAGATTCAGAAATGTTGCTTTTCCACACAGAGCAAAACCAAAAATGTTCCATCCTTTTCTGTGTGCTCACATAGGGTTCAGCCTTGCAAGGTCTGTAAACCTGATAAGAGCATCTCAATCAATTACATTCCTAATCATTGCATATGGGCAGTTTATGTGACTAAGGGGCTCACATGCAACAATGACAAAATTTTTTCCTATGTTCACCCACTTCAACTTTACATCCCTAAACCAATACATGTTCAATGATGCACAAAAATTTATACTAAATCACTAACTATAAACACCAGAGCTCCAACCACATCTTTGTAAAATATGAAGCAGCTACCTTGGCAAAAGTGGAGAAACTACTAAAATTCTGTGAAGAATATAAGGGGAGAGACACTAAAATACATTTTGACCACCCAGTTTTCAAAAATAAAGAGGTACAGCTGGAAACCACAGGAACCATGGAGTTGTTAGTGTAAATTCCACTGTTTTGCCTGTGATTTTATCAAGCTTATGCAGCAACAAAACACATTCTTGAAGTGGTGAACTCAACAGACTAAAATAATATCTATTAGTTTACCCTGAGGCCCTGGTTTCTTCTGTATAATTTGGAAAACCTCCAGGGAACAGATGTATCCTGCCAGTCCAGACAAGCTCTCTTTACCACCTACTCCAATCAGAAGTTCATAACCCCTAGAAGCTTATAGGATAGGATTGATTCAGTGCCTGATGACAAAACACAATAAAGTAACAGTAACATAAAATAACTTCAATAACTTTCTCAGTGAAGTTCCTAAATTCCTTTTAATTGCATCAAGCCTTCTACCCCTCCCCTCTTTCCTTTTTTTTGTCTGTTTTTGAGATAAAGTTCTCCTGACACCTAAAGGGACATTATCTTCATCTCAGCATTCTCTATTGGTTGCAATATTCGAGCAAGTGGAAAGAAACATTCTTTTCCTTTATCAAATATTGAAGGTTTGCCAAGGAGCAGAGCTGTCTGGTTACACATTCTTTACATTGAGCTGCTCCAAAGCATCCCACCAGGAATCTGATGGCTCCTGACTGAACTCTGAAGAGAGACCCAGTGAACTTGGAGGGAGCTTGACTGGGCTGTAGGAGCACATAAGAATTTCACATGTGGCAGTTTGCACCACAAAGGCCAAAGGACAATAAACCACTTAATGACAAATTTGCATCAAGCTTTATTAACTCTTGGAATATCTCTCCCAGACTAATTAGAGCATGCTGTTATTTGCTGATCATAGAACACCATGGGAAGAATGAGGCCAGATGAGGACTTTGCTCAAAATTAGATGAGATCCAATTGCTAAAATTTTGAAATGTGTGTATTGAGGTAATTCCTCCCACAGAAAACTATGTTTGAGACATTGAAAGAAACCTCTTGTGGTTTGTATTCTAATTATTTATATAAGCATCTAAAATTATTTTCTAAATTTATCTTTTAACATCAGATACAGATTCTAAGGGATGAAAGACCAGAGATTGGAGACAGCAGGTTGGATTTTTTGCTTAATTTTTGCTACATGCGTCATTGAGATATCCCCTTCATTGTCTGTATGTCTCACGTCACTGAAAAAATTATTGAAAAAAGCCTTGAATAAAACATTGATGAGAACCTTCTGAAATAAAGAGATAATATGTCTAATCTGGTTGCATCTAATAAAGAGCTAAAAATCTCTGCAACCAAAACATTACTGGAAGCAAATTCTCCTTGACTTCACTGTAGAACTTTTTCAGCCTTATTCATCATTTCACAATGGATCCATCAAAAGACCCCATAAAAGGTGCAGAAAACACTTACAGGATTTAATTTCACAACCACTTTTCCAGGACTGCCAAGCTGTAAGCCTAAAACGCCCTGCCACTTTGTTTGCCAAACTGAGATCCCACTGTCAGTCACCAGACTTTAGAGAGAAGATAATAGCTTACCAACATTTTCAGACAAAACTGGTGATACCTGAGAAGGCTTCTTTCTGCAGTCTGATGATTATCACATCAACATTCAAATCAGCCTAAAAAAAAATAAATCTACAATCCCTATGAAAGGTCCCCATGATTATCTTTGAAATTCAAGCATTTCTTTAATCCTCTTGGAGCAAAGCTCCTACAATAGATTGCTTTGTCAAGAGTGCTGTCTCTTATATAGCTCCTGTCTGATAATGTGCAAAGTGAAAGCTGATGACACTGAAATCCTAGTACAGCTCACTGAGAAGAAAAGTTTGTGTGTTAAACCATTTGACACTGCAAATAATACAAACTGCTTCAACAAAGCTAATCTCTGCCAGCAGGGGCCTCTGTCTCTTTCTGGAAATCACTGATATTACACATGACCACAGTGATGGTATCTGTTGAAGAAAGATGACAAATAATGACAAGGAAAAATAATGAAGTCTGTCCCTCAGTTACTCAGCACAATCTTCATCTTCTGAAAACTGTCTGGTTTTCTTCTGGGCAGGAAAACAAAGAAAATGTAGTAAATCAGATTTTAGAAGCAGAAGCTGAGATTTGGAGCCATGATGGGTACTAAGACATTGCCTGACATGAAAAAACCAAATTACATTGAACTGAGGTAAGGTAAGCATATGTATGAAAAAATGTTATGGGTAAATAAAATAAATCTATGATGACACTTAGAAGTTCTGGCTTGTTTAAATTTAAAAGGTACAGCAGCTGGGCAGCAAAGCAACTCCAGGTCTGCTATGCAGTGGTATTATTTGCTGTATGCTTGAGGTATTGTCCTTGCTTTGAACTAATCTAATTTTAAAAGCATTTTCCCTTTCTTGGAAACAAAAGACAAATATTGCTTTTCTTAGAAAGGCCTGCTACATCATTAATTAATTAAAAGATAAGACAAACTATCTACAGCATTATAGATTATCTCTCCAGCCTCAGAAAATAAGTGGTGTTAATTTCTGTGGAGTGCAAAAAAACCCAGTGAATCTCTCTTCAAACAAAATTGAGGTTATTTTTAACGCTGGGCCACAATCTGCTCTTCCATGAGGGCACCAACAAAGTCCATTTATCAGCTCTGTTGCTGCATGGTACCCTGCATAAACCTTCCATCAAGAGTGTTACGAGTTTGCACTGCCGCAAGCCCTGAACAGCAGAAAGCAATGACTTCATGCAAGCACAACATCACGATGGATTATATGTTTCCTTTATAGATATTCCAGTTACACCCACTGCATGGCAGCCTCAGACAAGGCTGGGCTCACAGAAGCAGGCATGTCAATGAAGCTCCTCAGGAACTCCTCAAGTAGCTCCCCACAGCTGTGTAGAGCTCCAATAAACAAGACCTGTCACCACTCAGTTTTTAACTTGCTGGCACAAGGCAAAATACTTTCCAGCTACCAACATATCTCAAAATACTTGTCTGTAGTGTCCATCACTATTTTATAACAGAAGTTACAATCTTTGCTTTCCACTAGCTTATCCCCACAGACATGTGCTGACTCATGACCAGAGATAATGAATACCATTTCGTTGCTGTAAGCACTTGGGTGTAGCAAACAAAATGCCCTAAAGATAAAAAAAATATTTTCTTTTGTAATATTGTCATCTGGCATCAAAATAGGATGTCTTAAGGAAGACTAACTGATATGTTCTGCAAAGACATGAGTTATCCTCAGTAGATATCCAGTAGACATTGTGCTTGAATCTATATATTCTTGAACATGAACCAGGATGTCTCTAAAATTAGCAAGTTGTCCAGCCAATTGAACATGCAAAATATAGTTAAAACAAATGTCTGCTCTCCACTGACTGGCACACTTACGTGGGCCATTATGGCTCGGGGCTACAGGGCAGCACAGGACACACGGAAACATCAGCACTGCCAGGACTTTCCATGGTCACTAGCCCTGTTTTTCAGTACTGCTCAAGAAAACAGGACAGAGATCATCATGACAAAATTAGCACTTTCTCAACCATCACCTCAAACTCCCTTTTTTCCCAACTTCCATGACAGGAGGGGTGCAAACATGGGTGATGGGCCAGTGCAACTCCACCAAAACAAGGTGTGTGGTGTACAAGAGGACCTGACAAGTCCTTGCCTCCTTGTCTTCACAGTGATCCATGGGCTGGGCAGACAAAAAAATATTCTGTAAAAAAACAGAGCTGCACTCCAAGGAACAGAAAAGCAGATAAAAACAAACCAGGATCAGACTTACTTGGTTTTACGAGTGAGGGCAGGATTGCTGACCCTATTATATCCTTCCCTCTCTGAAGGGAGAATCCCTACTCTGAAGTCTTGAATCCTACTCTGGTGTTCAGTTACCCCTTGAAAACTCTAATTCATGGAAAGGGTTGTCAAGCACTGAAACAAGATACTGAGGGATGTGGTTGAGTCACCACGCCTGGAGATATTTAAAAGATGTGTAGATGTGCCACTTAGTTACATGGTTTAAGGGTGGACATGACAATGCTAGACTAATGGCTGGTGTTGTTTGTCTTAGACGTCTTTTGCTACCTAAATGATTTGTGATTTTATGATTATTGTTTCAGAGCTTTTTCAATCTCTGTTTTGGTATACTTAGTCTTCCAAAAGCTGTTTTACCCTTGAAATGTTGACCTTCTCTTCTCAACAACCAACCAACTGAAAAAGTAAGCACAACAAACTTTGCAAACCACTGCTCTATTTCCACTAAATACATTCTCCATCTCAGCTTCCTACCCATCTGATCTTTAGGTCACTTTAGGGAAGGGACTTTCTATTTTGGACAAAAAGTATCTGTTCTTCACCAGTCCACAATTCAATGTCCATCATTAGATTGCAAAGATCAGCAATAATAGTGTGTTGTCAGGTACATTAGCCCATGATATAGACCTGAAAGCCATTGGAGAGGTCTCGCATATTTAGGATGCAGTGGAACCTCATATCAGTTGCTGGGAAGTTTTGAATCTTTGCCTGTTGAAGATATATGTCTGCTTGTACTGTGGTTCAAATCTTCTTGATTATTGATGGAACAAAAGCTTGTTGCTGGAAGTGGAAGCCAGCTATCTTTCTGTAGATGGTAATCAGGGAACGTGAAGAAAGAAAGTTGGAGGCAAATACTGCAAAACATCGCTGAAAATAAAAAGGGGAAAAGAGATGACGATTCTCGGCAGATAAGAGTCAATGAAGTGTTAAATGACACAGCCTGGTGAGCATACATCTACTTGTGTGTCACAGAAAATACTTCATTTCTAGCCTCATCCTTGATGCAGTCCCACAGCAGTTGCACGTCTGGTTATGAGCCCCAAGGGCACATCTGACAGGTGGATGACCACATGAGCCTGCAATTCAGGGAACTCTCAATGTCATAATAAATCTAGTGTGTCTCTTTCCATTTAGGTATAAGAACGGCAAGATTTTCAACCTGCACTAAATTTCAAGCACTATATTTTCTCCTATTCCCTTTCATCTGCTACCTATTGTAGTGGAAGGCTAAATAGTAATTATTTCATGTATTAAATACAGGATTGCTATAATATGACACTTCAAACCCTAGATGGAGCTTAGGCTTGATAATGAAGCTGCCAGCAGCTAGATTCATAAAGGCAACATACTGAAAATTATGAATTTCTTTAAGAGTTACCTTCTGCCTATCATAACTGAGAAATAAAACATAACTTGATTAAAACTAGTGACAAAACACTGAAGCACTGTACATTTCCAGGCTTAATCTCAGTTGAAGAATCAACAGTTCTGTCCTACAGGAAATCTGGAATTCAAATAACCATGGGAGTATCAAATTAGGATTGATATTTTAAAATTAACAATAATCATACATTTTCTAACATATAATATTTTGTTCAGAATTTCTGTTGCAATTAAGATACCATATTTTTACAAAGTTTCTGATGATAAAGGGTTTTTTGGTAATGAAATTGGCTCCCAACACACTTGGAGATGAGGAAAGCATGGTCAAAATAAGTACAAATCATTTTGAGAATACACACAAACATCACTCATCACAGATTAGAGGAAAATTAGCTGATCTCAATAAGAAAAATACCAGAAAATATCATCATGGAGTATGAGGGGGCATGCTTCTCTCTTTACTGCATTATCCAATACTCTTTCTGGCTCTCCGGATGACGCAGGTCGGTCCAGATGAATTAAAAGGAAGGCACCTAAAAAGTGGGTAGAGATTAAAATAAAATAAAATAAAATAAAATAAAATAAAATAAAAATTTTAAAAGGGCTCTGAGTTGCTGGAAATTTGCATTCTTTTTGTCCAAATAGGAAGGGAATCTTGTTTCTTTAGATGTTAGTGTACATGTCAACTACGACAAGCAGGTCTTTAAAAGAAATACTGTAAAAGGAAAATTCATGAATAATGCAGTTATTCCCTGCTCAAATCAACAAATTCTCCCTTCCCAGAACATCATAAAATAATGCATTCTCTTTCTTTCCTTGTGTTTGCAATGAATTTTACTCTATTTTAGAATTCTTAAGTAGTTATATTAAATTCCTGAATTTCTTGGTCAGCGCTTTTCTTGATTTGATCTGTTTTATAAAAATGGAAATTTTAAATTTTGGCTAGATTTTGTTTTAAAAGAATTCAAAAGCATTTAAAAGAAAGAAGCAACAACCCTTTTAAAGCACTAGGGATTTTGAGATCTTAACTTTGAAATCTTTGTGAAAGAATAAAATGTTTCCTATCTCAAAAATAATATAGTTTTGGGAAGAAAACAGGAGAGTATTGAGATGTTAGCTTTGCATGTCACCAAGTTAGACCTGACCGATTTTTCCAAGCCAGAGATGGTTCAGATTTGAGTAGTCACTTACTTTTTTTAAATCTTTACAGCTTGTTCCTTAACAAGATATTTAGCTGATGCCTGGTGTCAATCCTTCATGGGATGAAGTATGACCTAGTGAAAAAATTTATACAATTCATCTGCATTAAAAGATGCAAGAACAGTAAAGATAATTCAAAATGTTTTCTTTGTAAGTCATGTATTTGTGTCATATAAGATGACATGAAGGCATGACATCTGAACAAGAATTTAATATGTATTTATAATAACAGTGAAGTATTTACACAGAATGTTGGCATTCCTGTAAAAAAATTAACTAAAACACTAATCTGTTGATTTTGGACTGGAAACTTTATATTTACACAGGTTCTGGTGAAGGAATACAATATATTTTAATTGCCAAAAAATTAAATTGTCATTTGGAAAGTAAGAAGGTTGTCACCTACTCTAGGTGGCACTACCTTGATGTCTTGGACTAGATGATCTCCAGAGGTCCCTTCCAACCCTAACAATTCTGAGATTCTGTGATTCTGTAATTACCTTAATTTCCCAAATCAACTGAATTACTTTCAGTGGTCATCTTCCATGCTTTTATTCTCATGGCAGAAAAAGACTGTTCATTGGAAGCAGCATCATAAAGTTTCTGTGGATTTTGTCTGATGTCTTTACGGGTGAAGAAAACATGGAGGGTTAGAGGTTAAACACCTGCAATTTAAGGAATCAGCTTCTGTGTCTCAGCCATCCCTGCTCTCTACAGTCAATCAGTGGGGCCAACATCTGGCATCTACATCAAAAGCAGCTGAAGGATATTTTCCTTCCAAAACTCCATAGCCCCTTCAATTTCTGCTTTTCTTTTCTAAAACAGTTTATAACCCCCCGGGAACATATGCTTTTCTCTTTAATCAATTAATTTTGAAGCTTTCTGGTTTTTCCTGTTGTTAATTGTTGCCATCATGGACCACAGCAAAAAAATTATATCATAACATTAAGTAAGAAGAAAATGCTCACCAGTGTCCATAATCAATATGCTGCAAAATCATGAGGATAAACAATTTAATATCTATCCACTTCAGGCACATTCACATCACTAATGAAATAGAAAAGTTTCTCATTCTTTTGCTGAAACATAGGTATGACCATGTTCTTCAGATTTTTTCCAAATATCCCCGAAATGTATCACAAAGGCATAAAAATTATTACCATACGAAGCAACACTGAAATTTAATAAAATCAAGAATTCAAAATCATGCTGGCTAAAATTTCTGAAATATTTCACCATGTACAAGGTTGGATTTTTTAAACTATTGAAGTCTTTAGCAATCAGTGAAACTCACAGATCGTTTTTGAGAATATATCATATTGGGATTCTGAATTCCAGAAAAGTCTTGCTGATTTACTTGATTGACTACTTCACACCTTTTAAAGTTTCACAGCATATCCATCTGCATCCTTTGAATGTGAGATCCCCAGGTATCCTGACACTCAGCAAATTAATCAGTGAGTAGATTATTTTCTCCTCCTCTTGGGAAGGATTAAACAAGATCTTTACCAAAATATGTAAAGTACAAAAATATGAAGGATAGATCTCATTTAATCAGGACATTTAATGACAAATCTAATGCAATATCATCTCCCAGACAAAGGAATATTAAGGTGATTGTACTAAATTTCAGCCTATTCCCCAAAATGAGGTGCTTGCACGATGGTCAGTGGAGACCATTGGGTTACAAATTTACTACAACAGTGAACAAATTAACTCAAAGACCCTTATGTATTCATCAGAACTGCAAATTATTGAGACATAAACTTTGAGTTTATACCATTTTTATCCAACTGCACTGCTTTCCTTAGATGTGTAAGGGAGAAATAGCTACAGAAATCTGCTAAGTCATGTTGAAAACACAGAATAAAACAACATTCATTAAGCATTATTATGATGCTGAACTCTGGTAAGATGTGATCCACAATTTTGCCACTTAGTGAAGTATTCCACAGGAATAAATTCCATATATGACAGGATTCATCATGCACAGAAGTTTGATTTCTAATAGCACTCTTTCAAAAGCCTGCAGAAATTACCAGGAATTTATTAAAGCAGGACTGGAAAACTAACCATCTTCCTTACTAGGTCATACATTTTTGTTGTTCAAATTATCACAGAAAGTATTCTGCACAAAATAAACCACAGTAAAAGGTGGAAGTAATAGTACTTCAAGGAAAACTTCAGTATTGTCACAGCCACTGAGACTCTCATCTTCAACAAGCAGCCTAAATTCTCTGTCTTGGAGCTGGGATTTGAACCAAAGCGTTCAAAAACATTTGAAACATTTAGGGAATACAGTGGTTAAAATCCTAACAGCACAGCAGAGAATGTGCTGCAAACTCAATACTGTTCAGCAAGAGGAAAAAGATTTCTCAAAAGTTTTGTACATCTAACCCAGAAATTTTTTGTCCAGTCAATAATGTAATGCATTTGGGGTACACCTGCAATTGATTTTGAGATTATGAAAGCCAGAATTTAATAAGACTTGAGTATTTTTCAATAAGAAATGCCTATATGTATTTTTAAAAAATGAAAAAATAATTATGAGTTCCATGTATAATAACAGATAGAGGATAGATGTATAATAATAGAAGAGGAAAAAGTGCAGACTACAGAATTAATTTTTTTTTCTATCGCACAGGGTATTAAAATACTTCGGGTCAGGCAAAATAAAAGAATAAAACATAAGTATATGGTTTTGAACTTGTCTTGCTTATTTAAAAACTGGGCAACATGTTCATGAGAGCCTGTAGGAAATGGAAAGTGCACTTGCACAGGGACAGCTGGAGACTGGACATCACAGCACTGGCACAGACCTGACTCACAGCAGACTTATGAGTGCCTTGGGCAAAGCAGAATAAGCAAATACGTCACTGCAAGCAGTTTCCAGTAGGGACTGTGGAAGTTTTGTCATGGATTTTTCAGTGAAATGAATCATCTGCAAACCTCAGTGGTGATTTTGACTGGTGAGCTCAATGAAGGTAACAAATGCTTCCAAGGCCATTTCTGTCTAGTCACAGTCAGCTGAAAGGATGGTTATTGACTGGAGAAGTAAAACAAGAAGACAAAGAGTGGAGGTGTTCTAGAAGACAGGACAGAAAGGGAGAACCTCAACATATTTGTTAACTGGATGATCATAAATTCTGGGGGCAAAAGCTGTGGTTGCACTTACCCTTCTTTCTTACCACAGAAGGAAAAACTTCTTGCAGAAACTATATGCATATGAAAGGCCTAAAGTCTCTTAATTACATAAAAGACCATTTTGTTCTTTTAGCTCAATGTGTACCCCTAATTTTAAACCCCGATTTTCTTGATCTAAATTTTAAATAATGCCCACAAGTATAAACATTTGCATATTTTTGTTCTTTATGGCAGTGTTCCAGACTTAAATACTATTGAGGACCCCAAAATTATTCTACCAATATTAGTTTGCATCAGAACGTGCCTCCGTCAAGCAACATTTTCAAATTTTCTGCTGTTCTAGAGGCAGAGAGGGTGAGTCATATGCCTTGGGGAATGCTAAATAAAACCCTACACTACATGCTAATCTCACCCACTCTAGCAGATACCTCAAAAAATGTTATGTGGCTACAGATAAGATGAGAACTGACAGAAAACACTGCAGATTAAAAGCAATATGATCTGTAAGAAAAATATCTTAACCTCTGAACTATGGAAAGAACATAGCAATGAACAGTGTTGAATCACTGTACTTTAACAAGTTCATCTCTTAAGCTCTTTTTTATGAACTAAGACTTAATTTAAATTGCTCATTTGTGCAGTTTGCTGTGAATGATTCTTTCCATTATGAAAACAATCCACAATTTGACTGTTCCGGATAATTGCTTGGAGTGATGGCTTAAGACACATGAAGGCACTTCAGCATAGCACTTGAATGCATTTACCAGGAAGAAATATTGGTACACACAAACATAAAAATCATGTAAGAGGCCGTCATTTTGATCTACACATGACAGTACAAAATCATTCCATCACAGTTCACTGAGACAATGCTGTAAATACAATGGAAAGGGAACACAATTTACTTGTTTCTGGATTGTCATGCAGGTCACCTGCTGGGATTAGTGGAGGGACTTGGTAGAAGAGCATTTAACAGGAGGAACTTGGCTAAAGAGCAGTGGACAGACGGAAGAGGTACAGACAATGGGCCACTGCCTTGTACATGCCTTAATTTTTCTTAGAAGGACCAGTGAATGGTTTACAGTACTGACTTAAAATGTGAAGGAATACTACTAAAATTTCACAGCAAATCCTTAAAGGTTCATAAACTCTCAAATTCTGTGCCACAAGACTGTTGGTGTGTGTAACATACTTGGAGAACAAGCCCCTGTGATGTTGACTTCACATCCTTGGTTTATTTAACAAGTTTCCTGCAAAAAGAATACATAGCCTTTGCTGCCCAGGAGCTTCTTTCATCAGCTTCTCTTTGCAATGGAAAGTGTTATGCTTTTGTGCTCTAGAGCCACAGCTGTGGTTGCTACTGGAATGGCAGTCATTACCTGAAAAATCCCCTCTTGATCAGAGGAATTTCTGAAAGCCTTTTAAGGCTGATTCCCCATTAAAGGAGCTATGACAGTTTACAACAGGTCATGAGCTCACTCTGACACACAGCAAATTTCTTTTCTCCTAAACTTTCCATTCATTTTGATGGGCAAAAAGGCGATTGAGCTCTATTAATGCAGGATTCTATGTCAACATGAATTTGGAAACACTTCAAAGAATGAACTAAGGTATAAAGAAGACAAAATTATCTTTGCTTATCTGATATGAATACAGAAGAAATTAACACAAGACGTGAAAGAGAAAACAGGGTAAAAGCTTATCCAATTAAGATTTGTGGATTTATACCTACTTTTTTAAACCTGGTGAAAATGTAATCCATTAGCAGCGATGTAGATTGGCTGGAAAATTAGACAACTGATTGGAAAAGCAATTAAATTACACATCAAACACACTTAAATGCTTCTAAAGATTTTATCTCAATACTTCTAAAATCATAGAAAGTTTTTAAAACTGAAAAATCTTTTTTGCTATCTTCTTCCACACATTTACAAGGACAAGCCAGTGTATTACCTTATAGTGCTTTTCATGGCATGAAAAAAGAGGGCACAATTTTTTTCTCTATAGTTGGTTCCTGTTCAAGTTACAGGAAGGATAAAAAACAGGGATGGTAAAGAGGGCATTTCCACTGACAGCTGGGCTCTACCTTGATCGTGTTCTTCACAAAGAGCAAAGCAGACAGCTTATATGGGCCTTTTTAGCTTTGACTGTCTGACTCCTCTTGTTGCAAAATCTACCACCAGTACAACAGTTTTGACCAACATACAGCCCTCTCCATTTGAGTGTTATATTAAAATTTCCTTTGATCTGCATCCATTTCACCTACAGAGACTCCAAACTCCACCAGACAGGGTTTGACCGTCCTTCGATGTTTTGTGGTACCTGGCAAAAGTAAACTCAACTTCTGACTGTCCATTTCAGTACACCTACAGGCACCATACCAAGACACCCAGGCTAGGACAAAGCTGGCTCAAGGCTTCTTGTGAACAGAGGTTAAGCCAAATTTTCTCATCTGCAATCAGACAACAACTTGTGGGAGCACAGTGTCGGTTCCAGTTTGCACCAAGCAGTTTCATCCTTGTCCTTTCCCCTTGCCTGCCACAACTTTCAAAGTTTTCCAGTCCTCAAAGCAATGAATTTTGCCAAGGCCCAGACAAGTAGTAGCCAATGGTTGTGATAACACTGTAATAACTGTGGAATATATTTTATCACTGCTGTTGAGGGAAGATAAATTTCTAACATCTGTATGGAACTTACTCTGGAGGACTGCTGATGTTGCGTGGTAGTTGAATGAATTGTTGGTCTGGAGCTTACCTTCAGAGATAGCACCAAGCCTATTACCTATAAACACAGTTTTTCCTACTCCAGCATTTCCAACAAGCAAGACTGCTTTGCCTTTTATTACTAGTAAATCAGTAGAGTACTGGAGATGTACAGTCTAAAATGTGTGAACAAAGACTGACTAAAATTGAAAAGAAAAAACCCCATCAAACACTTGCACATCACAGTTTACTTTTAAAAGCAAACTGTAATTTCTGTCTTTCTCTCTGGCTAGGACTAAATTCTAAAAAGTGATGAAGCAGGATACACCATTCTTTTATTCTCAAAGAATTGCTAAAATAAATTGTTTTACTTTTTACACAGTATTTCTACTTGAAAAATTTTATTCAACTTCTTCTAATAGGAAGCTTTTGAAATCTGGTTGTATCTGGAGTGCATGCCATCTCAGGCATTTCAGAACCAGTCTTCCTATAACTGTTAGAGAAGCAAAGACTGGTGAAAGATGAAGATGGTTTAATTTATCAATTTTTTCAATTAATTTTTGGCCTGGCTTTCAACTTACCTAAAACCATTTGGACAAAGAGTTGGCAATAAACAGCTTTACTTAGTGTGAGCACATAAAAGCTTCCTTGTCTGATAAATCTTTCTTTTCCAAGCTCTTCAATTGTCTGATAAATATTCCTTTTCCAAGCTCTGTGTATTCCTATCAAATATTAACCCTCAAAGACAACAACAGAGTTGATAATTGATTATATCTTTTGATCATCAAATCCATGTTTCTGTGTCCATAGTCTTCTAATCTCCCCAGGAAAATTCCTACTCATCTAAGCATTAAAAAGTTGTACAATACAAATTAATGCAATCAAAACACAATTAATCACTTGAGAACATCCTATGCAGAACACACTGAAAAAAGTGAAAAAATAACCATACCTTCAAACTGAGGCAATTACAACTAACAGCTCATGCTTTCTAATCATCCACTGACAGGTATACATCATACTACCTTCAAGAGTTGTCTTCTACAAATACAACTCTAACTTTATAAATTGTTCAAAAGCCTAGTAGAAAGATGATGAAGTGATTTGCTTCCTCTAGATCTCATACACTTGTTTGTGTGAAGCTAATTTAGCTGGCAAAAAAAAAATATCTGTGCATAAATGTGGCCATAGGACAATGTTAAGGCTTCAATTTGAGGTGCACTGTTGCCGTGAGCACTATTTTCAATGATTTAAATGGCCTTGGAGCCTGAATTTCTCTTCCTATGGATAAAAGGTAGCCCACAGAGAAGTTGGCAGCTGGCCCAGAAAGGCTGGAATCCTATGCTGGAAGCCTGTGCTAGGGCAGGTTTCTGGGAGGACCTGTGAACCTGCATAGAGAGGAGCCCACACTGGAGCAGGTTTGCTGGCATGACTCGTACCCCCATGGGGGACCAATGATGGAGCAGTTTGTGAAGAACTGCAGCCTGGAGAAAGGACTCAAGCTGGAGAAGCTCATGGAGGCCTGTCTGCCATGGGATGGAGCAGGGGCAGAGTGTAAGGAGCACTTCCCCTGAGAGGGAAGGAGGAGCAAAGACAATGATGGGCTGACTGCAACCTCATTTCCCATCCCCCTATGCTAATGGAGTGAAGAGGGAGAGAAAACTTGGAGTGAAGTTGAACTGGGAAGGAGGGAGGAGTGGAAGGAAGGTATTTTTTAGATTTTGGGTTTTTTTGACTCTACTCTACTCGGATTTGATTGGTAATAAATAAAACTAATTTCCCCAAGTTGAGTCTGTTGTGCCTACGACAGTGTGCTGTGCTATTTGATTCCCCTGTCCTTATCTTGACCCAAGAGTCATATTTTTTCTCCACTGTCCAGCTGATGAAGGAGAGTAATAGTGGCTTGGTGGGCTTCTGGCATTTAACCATGGTCAGCCCTCCACACTACTCTTCTGATTAAGCAGTACACATAAGAGAGATAAAAAACTCCACTTAAATGATGACAAAATTCTCTGAATGCCTATTTGGGGATATATGTGGCCACCACATGAATAATAAATTAACAGAATAAAAATTAGAAGCAAGCTTTAAATAAATAATCGAGTTTGATTCAATTAATCTTCAAACTGGATGTCAAAAATGCCAACTAAGGCCATCAGATACTCACACGTTCTACTCCAGGCGCTGGGGTTTCTGGTGATGAATACCAGCTCTGGATATTGTAGCTGGGGCAGCAGCTCTTAAACTTGTACCTCAAACAGCAGCCGAATTTACAAGCAATGAATGTGTGCCTATGACTCTGTCAGGGTCACAACCTAGAAATTATCAGTAAACATTTCAGGGAAAGAAAGTTAAGATATGTTGTTTAACAAGAACATGATCAATCATGTTTATTACAGTGCCACAGAGGATTATCTGCAACACAATGCATATACTGCTCCTTGAACAACCTAGACAAACTCTGTTTAAACATGCCTTAGTTTTTTTACCAGAATCACAGAGGGTGACAATTTCAAAATGTTTAACTTGACCTTGCATGAGTTTATTAGAGTTTAATTAATTTAAAAGATGACTAGCCTGCTTTGCCAATGAGAGCTCTCCTGAAAGCAGACAAATGCAGAGGAGGGGAAAACCTCTCTCAAGGTCAATGAAAATAATCAGAAGATAATTCAGAGCAGGAGTCTAAATTTAGGTTAGACTCCAAAATGTTTCTTGAAAAAGCCACTTCCTATTTCTCAAAAAAAGTTAGATTATATGGCTCAACCCTCCAGGCACCTTGCTGAGTAACCAGAGGATTACTACGGTTTAAGTTTCTAAGACAGGAAAGCATAAAACTCCCATCACTTTCCAAAGATTACATTCAGATATTAGATTTGTATTTCATTACATTCCAGCATTTCAGAGAGCCCACAAAACTGGTTTAGCTGTATAACTAATAAGAAGGAAAGAAGGCTGTATCCTACTGTGCTTAGACTGACTGATTTAGATTTCCTACACTAACCTCCCATCAATGCCTTGAGAAGACTGACCTAGAACAGAGACCAGATAGAGTTTAAGAATAAAGTAGGCATTTATTAAAAGGCCTCAATGGACACATCTCGGGTGGTACAAGAGCCCAGCCAGGCCTACACCCAAGATGGACCCAAAATGGTCACAAATGGACAACTGGTCATGGGGTGTCACATTTCTAAAGGTTTTGGTCCATTAGCATATTGGAATTAATTGTTTAATTATAACTTTAGGTTATGGAGTCCCATCCTTCTTGTTTTTCTCTCTTCATTCCACCATTGTTTGTGCTCTTGGTCCTGAAATTTGTATTGATTGTCCTTGGTCTCAGGCTAGAAAAGGAATTGTTTTGTCTAGCTACTCTGTGAAGAAAGCTTACCATCACTTAATATGAAGCTCAGAACCACACAATAAAACAGCACAGAATCTGAAAAATATAAAAGCTAAACTTAAGGCATTACCATAGTACAGTGATGCAAGGACTTCAATAATGGAATCTTAAAGCTATTTTACTGAGAGACTTTCCAAATACCAGTTTCAGTAATCTCATCATTGATTTCTGGAGTTACATCAGCTCACATCTAGGAGGCACAATCATCATTACAGTATTCATAGGCTAATTTAAGGCTCTTTTCTATGCCAAATAGGCAAGATGTAAAGTGTAAATTAGGCATTAAATATTACTTAGCAATAGTGAAAATCAAAGAAATTATAAGAATAAAAGAAAAAGGCATGCACAGTGCAAAACTGTCTCCAGAAAAATAGAGGAAGAAGCAAATGGGAAAACAGGTAAAGGGAAATCCACTGTAATTGTGTCTCAATGACTCACCTTGTTAGCACCCATAACAGTGTTGAGTGACTCAGTCTACATAGGAGCTGTATCCCTATTTAAAACAAACCTTTTTTACCCCTCATGGGTAATATTGGCTTGTCCTCTCAGAGAAGATGACAGGAGAACTGCAAATTATATTTCAATCGAATCTTATCCCTTAAGTCCTCAAACAACAACATTGTACTGCAATTAAAACTTCAGAAGATAACACCACTGAAACAAGAAGCTTTTGGAACATCAAACCCATGTTTGCTTCCTTTGCTTTTTTATTAGGTAGTTATTTAAAATAACAAAAAATTCAGTGAACACTCAATACAACAAAATGACTGCATTTTATGTAATAATGATCTGTTTTGATTACAGGAGAGTTGGTCATTAGTCTCCATGATACAGGAGATATAAGGGAGATGCTGTGGGTCTGGGGTGAAAATAACAGGCCCCTCAAGGCAGCTGGATTAGAACTGTGCAGGCTAATACCTTCTGTCTACCAGCATCCTGCCCTGCCCTACAGCCTTTCCAGAACCACCAGTGCTCTGCACCCACGTCCCGCTGTATCAAAACCTCTGAAAAATGGAAGAATTCTATCTCTTATATTTTCTCTGAATTCTGGTATTGTCCATTTTGGATGGAGAATGACATCCTGGCAAGAACACATGTGTTCCTTGCCATCCTTCCACTCTCAGGTTTCCTGGTGTATGAAACCACACAGTTCATCAGCTGTCAGAACTTATGCATTAAAAGTCAATTCCAAATGGGAATTTGTGTTCGCATACATGTGATGAAGAACTTTCAGGACCTGAAGGGAAGGAGCAGGGTGAATGTTAGTAGCATCATTTTCACATAGTAGGAATTGTTCACTTTTTTCTGAACTGGAGCTTGGACTGAAACCCTGTACTCAGCCAACAGTTTACATGAATTTACTCTTGTCTCTGTGCTAGTTTAGCCTCAAATTTCCATTAAGCCTAAGGATAGAAAAGGAGATTCCCAGTCTGAAATACCCATATTCTGCACTCAATTCTAATGGAAAGTGTTAAATGGAGAAGAAAATCTATGCAGCTGCCAACATTTAGTAGCATAAATAAGCAAGCATTATGTATTAGAATTATTTGTCTAGTGTTTTGGCAGGACATTCCATGATGTCTGTCTACGAGTCTAATTAAAACATCCTGCTTCTCCTTCCAGAACAAAGTATTACTTAGTCTATCTGTCAAATTGAATGTTCATTACTTCATGCCATGATTAACTGTCCTTTGGGACATGCAAACAGCACATAAAATGTAGAATTTGCTTGCAACATTTGCACTTTCTATTGCTCATCATGCAGCTGACCGAGTGGCCTCAGCAGTATGTTATTACCCTGCAGCCTCAGGCAAAGGCAACATGAAGAATATTTTGTGCAAGAGCCGTGGCAGTTTCTTTACAAGGTGAGATGGAAAACATGCTGCATAGGCAGGCAGGTACCTTACCCTTCCCATTCCCTGCAATTCCACCAACAAACACAGAGTGACACACTGCTGGCTGCTCCTCCAGCTGAACATCCTTACACACAGAAAGGACACACAGTGAGCACCTCTCCTCTCCTGCTGTGGTTCTTATCACAGAGACACAATCATTCACAAGATTTTTTCCCTCTCTGCATTCTTATTCCCTTTAATAGGAAAAAAAACCTTGCACTTTCTTGGCAGATTTGCCTCAGCAAAGCTAATGTTGCATCAAGCAACACGGTCTCTCAGAAAATGGTAAGAGGTAGTGCAAAGGAATCAAAGCAGTTACCTCAGCAAGTGAGAACAAATCCTATTCTGCCAGACAGCCACACAGTCCAGCAGGACTGTGGAAACCCAAGGACACAGAACAGTTACCACAATTTTGCCACTGCTTTGGCAGAGTGGATTCTGCAATCAGTTGTACAGCTGGAATTCAGAAAAATACAAAATCAATCTCCTAAAGCAATACATTGCTTCCAAAGAAATAGTTGTATAAGTCACAGAATAGAAATAGCTTGGCTGCTTGTGGATTTCTGTTTTAGTGAAGAGTATTCATTGTGATTTTCCAAAGTCTAACAGGAACAAGTTCATGATCCTCAGTGCTTGTCTTCTGATTTACTCAGTTAGCAGTAAAACAAATACTCTGTTAGAAGGCTGATTGTGAGTTCATAATACCTCAAGGCATACCTTACTGTTTTTCACCCTTCTGTCAGGATAATGGAATAGGAGAGAAGAGTAGAAAATCCTGTATAAATCCTCTGATCAGTAACATTCAACTAGCTTGGTTATTTCCAATATACTCCAATAAAGATAAGGATGTGCTGCCTTGGACGAACGTACAGCAGATGTGAAAGTTCCTTGAAAAAAGGTGGGAATAAATACACTTTTTATTTGGTCTGTGTACTAACCAGTGTTTTTATGTTTCACCTTTTCACTCTGTCCGTAATTAAAATAAATTAGTGCCTAAATTTAGATTATGGGAAATTAATTATTGTGAGTATACATGCATGCATATATGTACCTGCATGTATTTAATGTGTATAGCACAACATGGACTATACTATACCTAAAAGCCAGAGCAAAAAGTCATATGTATCCATGCACATTCCCAATCCACACCTTCTTATTTATGCGTTTTTGTTCCCTTAGTCTTACCTCACTGTAAATATCTGACCAAAAACGAATTTACTACAAAATACAAGTTCTTCTTAGCATGCACAAACAAACGTTTTTGTCACTCTAGATTGTCACTGTACACAGCTTTTCCAAACAGGACACATGTTTCCTAATGGACATATTTATCATACTGAGGAATATTACTGCCATGATGAAATGCCTTTGAAATACTGAGTCATTGAGAGACACTTTATCAATGTTTTAACATATTCAAAAATAATCTTTGTGTCTAATACAAACAACTCATTGGCAATTATTTTGATAAAAAATCTTAAGGGGAATGATTAACGACAATGAATTTGTTTACTTTTAGAATAAAGTTCTCTTCTGGCTGCAAGTACAGCTCCAGGGTAGATCGTTTAACCATCTGCTCAGACTGTAGGTTCCCCATCCTCAGAACATCCAGAGATGGAAACAGGTCACTGATCACGCCTGTGAAAATTGGGATATCATCTGTCACAATTTTATGCAAATTGAAGTCTCTTAAGATGCACATAAGCACATGGAAAAAGAAGGTAAACAATGTATCACAAGAACATTAAATAATTTTTTTAGGAGTCTCTTTTTATTCAAAGGAAAAACACCAGAAACATATTTTACCCAGTCCTCAGGGATGTTCTTATCTCCCTGTTTCAGAAATTACCAGAACAGACTTGATAGCATGAAGTCCCCAGTCATAACAGCCCTACAAAGACATTTTAACTAATCCTGTTAACACATGAAATAAAACTAAGTGGTAATGTTCATGAAGAAAACAATAATTTTACACACAGAGTAAAAAAAGACATTTTTATTCACTTGTAGTCTTTCAGTGGCTTTTGGTCAGCATTAAAGGTTGACTAAAATATATAAAAGGCTGAAATATATATACCTGTATATCTGCTTAATTTTCAGTATTCCACCATTTGATTCCCTATTCTTAACTGGCTGCCAGCTGAGTAAGGTTTGAAAACATATTCTGCAGCCACACCTAGGAATTCAGTATAAACACAGCCTATTAGTATTATCAATCCCCCCCGCCACCAAAAAAAATCCCAAAAAAACCAACCCCAAAACAACAACAAAGAAGCAAATTCACAACTTAAAAATACAAAATTTTAAGTTGACAGATGCTGTGCATCTATCCTCTTCCATGACAGTGGTAACTCTAAGAGTGAATAAAATGTACTAAATACAGCACAAAAAGTAATTTTAAAAAAAATAATTTCCAAACTCAGGACAGTTCATGATCAGTAATAAAAAAAAAAAATTGGAGGTAAATTATTATTTATCTATTATCTGCATTGAAAAGGATTCTCCACACTTTAGAAATGGTACATCTGGTCAAGGAAGTTAAAATAGAATTGATAATGAAACCAGGAAATTTAGGAATGGACTGTGCTTAATAAGATTTTTGTTAGATTTAGGCAAGGAATTTTTGGTGTATTTTGGCTTTTTCTTTCTTTTTATTTTTCTGTTGTTGTTTTGGTTTTGGGGTTTTTGTTTGTTTGGTTGGTTGGTTGCTGGATATGCATCTTAAAAGCAGCCTTGTGTGCCTAATTTCATTATCTCTAGAAAATTGCAAGAATGTGCCAGGAAATCTTCAGGAAATTTATACATAATTTCAAAATTATGCAGGCATGAAAATAAAGTAGTTTTTTATTTCATAAAGGCCCTGTTGAGTTTATGGTTTAAGGTTGAAGCGTTCTTCAAGTTATAATTCCATTGATAAAAATGAATATTAGGAATATCTTGCAAAAAATTATACAGCTGGAGATTATTAAAACAGCATACATACAGGAAAGAGATCGTACAGTTTCTAGGGTTTGCATTTTTAAGATAATATTTCTAAATATGAATTCTTTCTAGTATAATAATTAAATTATTTAGAAATGCTTTTCCACTCCCCTTTTTCCAGCTTTTTTTCACTGCTTTTACTGGGGAAAGTTCAAAGACATGTCCATTCCATTACAATATTCTATGTGTTTTTCAAAATAATTTATACTCTGTTATTCTCTTCTCCAGAAGATTGTTTTTTACATGGGTGTTACACAGCAGCACAATGTTGTCAGTCATCCCAGGTATGAAGATATACAATTGGTGATATACAGTTGTTTAATGCAAAATGAACACATTACAAACATCCAAAGGTAAGAAGAAAGGACATTTTCCAAATTAATGTCTGACAATTTATTAAGGATGGACATGTGATTATTTAGAGTGTCTTTAAAATACAAGATAAGACAATATGCATAAATCCCTCCTATTATGCAATATTCAGCTGCACTGGTGTGGAGTGTGTGCTAATGGATATGCATTAAATCCAGAAGCCCAAAGAACCCTCACCTGTTCTGGGAGCAGCTCCCTGCAGAGAGGTTGGAAGGTGATGAACTTCCTGGCTAACAGACAGGCATCAATAAACCCTTCAGCAGCCAACATCATTTCAGAGACCAGTTCAATGTCAGGGATGACCATGGCACAGGTTCTAAGGAAGGAAAAAAACATAATCCAAATGCACAGATTAGTATTTAAACATGGTGAGAATAAGTCAGCTAAATCAAATGTCTGGTGTGTGCAAACATTTTTAAAAACAGACCTCAAGAGAGTCACAATTAAGAGTGTCAATCAAAGCTGACAAGGACCTGAGTTCAAAGCAAAATGAGCTAATTAGGCACCGGTGATTGTTAATATTCCATAACACTGCTGCACAAAAGAGGCATCTGAGAAACACAGACAGGTACTGCCCAAACTCAGAGCAGGCACAGGCTGCAGTGGTGGCACTTGCCACTGACCAAGAAGGCACAGCCAGCAGCTGTGCAGGGTCTGGAAGCCAAGTGCAACACAACCATTGCTAAAAATGCCAGCCTTCTTTAAAGTTTTTTTTTTTTTTGAGAGCTTTAGTGCTTTGATATGAAGGCTTGGTTACCTTTAAAGGTTTTATTGTTTCTTTCCAAATATAACTGCTTAAACTTTTAGAACAAACACCCAGAAATTTTAATGACACAAATGAAAAATATCTCATTAAATCTCATTTTTAAATGAACATGAAGTAATAATGTTATTGCCAAACAATTTCACAGTTTCCTCATTAAAAATCTTTACTTAATTTACATCCTAGCAAAAAGGAGATCTTGAATTTTGTGTTCAAGCCAGCTACAAACCAGCAAATTTATTCCTCAGAGCTCTTTCTTACTACTGAAAAAAACCAAATATTTCTTCTTTTTCCCCATCCAGAAATATACTGCTGAACTAAATGACCAGTTTTAATTTTGTCATATTTGAGTATGAATGGGGAATTTCTCATTTAATTCTGTCTGACCTGCACATCCAGGGATCATAGTAATAAAAATATTCCAACTCTGGATTTCAGTGTCGCATTTTCACCAAAAATACAAATCTGTTAAAAAAAAAGATAACACAATGAAGACTTAAAAGAAAGATACTACTTACAAAAGAGGAAAACTCACTAGACCTTGGCAAGCAGAGGTATTTTAGCTTTTAGCAATCTGTCTAGCCCTGAATTTAGAAAGAAAACACTGGACTATTAGAGCCCCAGAAAGCGCATGTGGCTGAAGCATGTCTGTAGGAAGAATCACCTTTGGAAACACAGAATAAAGGAGATTAGTAGGGATGCAGAGGGTTTGAAAAGGCCAGGAGACAATATTGAGTAAAAAACCCCAAAATGGAGAACATAGGACAGCGGGAAAACAAGGCATGTCTCAAAAGCACTGGAAAGTCCTGGAACCATGGAGACTTCTTGCAAAGTTGAATCCCTCCAAACTTCTCACCCATAGGGTTGCCATGATCTCACATGGTAGGACTTGAACTTGTTTCAATAGCAAAACTTTAATTGTAATCTGGTAGGACCAGAATTTACTCACATTTATTCCTGCAGTTTGAAGAGAAAGTTATTTTTGGGTAGTACATTACACAGATGATTTTGTGTTGCTATCTAGTTTTTTATTTACAAATAGTTTCAGAGGAACTTTGGAGGAAGATATTACTGGTTCAGTATTTACAGACTGCAAAGAACAAAGAAGCACTCCTAGCACACTAACTTCTTTTTCTTCCCAATTTTATTGTAGATAGGCTTTAATTGTACTGCCACTACTGACAATACATCCACCAAGAGATGACTGAATTCCTCAAAGCTCCTGTCTGGACCAAACCTTTATAGATACTCCCTACAGACTAAAATTAAAATATTTAACTTCTTTTTCTTGAAAGCAGCAGTTTCCAGTATAATTCACATGAAAAAGAAGCTAAACAACAATCTCCATACTGCTTAACAGAACATCTCACCTCATCATCCTGAATGATGTGCATATTCTGAGTAGTTGAAAATTCTCACCATCGTACCAAGGGCACAACCTAAATCTTCCATGGTCTCTGTCTTCTCTGTGCCAGCTGCTTCTGCAGGAACACCACTCACTGCTAGGTGGAGAGCCTGGGTTGGAGTAATAGAACACCTTAACATATGAAAAAAGATTTTTCTGGATTGCAATGAACTTCCACAATATCAGGAGCTTTTTTATAACTCTTATGTTTCATGGATGATTTATTCCAAGTCCACTTTCTCATTAAAATTTAATGTCCTAAACCACAAATGTATCTCTTCCACATTCATGTAAAATCATGGTGTGGTACTACTTGGAAAGTGCTTATTTCAGAAAAGAAAGCTAACCACATCAACATTTTTTATCAAGAAGGAAGATCCTATCAGTGATCACAGAGGACAGGAAATAGGAGCGTGTAGATGCTGCTTTGCTTATTTCAAAGACTTGAATTTGGCCTCCCAGCTGAGGGTTGAAAGCATTAAGCTAGCCAGGATGCCTGACTGTATCTTTTTTGATCACTTATTTTAACAACAAATTCCATATTGAAGCCAAAATATGCTGAGCAAAAAAAAAATTCACTGTCGGTGGTATAAAAAAAATAGTATTTTGGACTTTCATAAATGAATACAAAAAATTGCTGAAAAATTCTGATTAACCTTGGCAAAGTTCTGCTCATATTCCCCTTCAGACTAGAAAATAAATATGTTAGCTTAAGTTATGCAAAAAATATTTCAGTTTTTATAAATGTAGTGATCATTTAACTCATACCATTTCTTATGTGCACCTACATGCACATAGATTCTGAAATATATTGTGTCTTGATAACCTCATAGTATACCTATGAGGTAGGAAAGAACTCTAAACTTCTAAGAAACTTTTAACTTTTAGTTCCTGAAACAGATAAAGCAGGCAGTGTTATTTATAGCAGCCATTACCTGTCAGTCAAAGGTGTAATAACTTGCCAAGGGATATTTCCCAAGTACTCATAAAAGTACTGAAACTGAGCATCACAAATATTGGCAAAACTGTTTCTGGACATCAGCCCATCTGTGCCATACCTGTGACAGCAAGCAAAAGCTCTGGAACTGGAGACCTAAGAGCCATCAAAGAGCCATGATGCCAGGTAGGAGCTATTCAGGTGTTACAAATGCCACCCATCACAAAGCTGCAGCTGTCATCAGCAGGTCGCACAACTCATTCCTAGCCACTTATGACTAATAACTACCACAATCTATTATAAAGGATTAGATGTACCTCGAGGCATTTGTGCTTTTATACAGATGCAAGTTTAATAGAAGATCATTTTAATAGAGCTATTACAGCAGAACACAAGGGCTCTCCATGCAAACAATGCAGTCTTTGCAAGGGAGCTGACATTACTTGACCACAATGAGTTTCATTTTACTCCTCAAGTCTTGTTTGCTCTTATCTGAATGCCACATTAAAAGCCTATTTTATTTCTGAGGTTTAGGGGGAAAATAAGAATTCTTTCCTGTTTCAATTCCAATCCAGTGAAACATTTTGGACATTCAAACCAACAGCATTAGTTTTACCTGAAATAAAGTTGTACATAGAGTAAGCACTTTGGTTTAAATAAACATGCATTATTTCAGTTGTCTGCATATACAAAAAGTCACCACAGGAAGAGGAGATGCTCTGGAGGTACACATGCCTCTGAAAGGAGAGCAAAACACTGTGAATTGCTGAAGGCAGAACAAACTGTGAATGCAAAATACAGCTGATTCAAACATGCACCCTCTGGGCTTGAAGGCTTGCTGATACCTCTCTGCCATGAACATCCTTGGTACAAATGGCCATGATTTTTTCATGATCACCCGAGGAAAGTTCTCCAAGCAGCATGGTAATAAAGAGCATTTAGCTCAGTGACCTGAAAAGATTCAGGTAACCCTCTAAAACCAGATGGCTTCCAGTACTGCTACCATTATTATTACTAGAAATTAGTTCTGCCTACATCATGAACTAATTCACCATAAAAACAGGCTTGTAGATACAAATTTTCTGATATTCAACATGAGATGCCAGAAGAAATCCTGGTTTAAACAGAAATTTGAACCATCTCCAAAACAACAACAATCCAGGTGAGCACAAATGCTGCAGATGGTCAGCTAGGCAGGGTAGGAGGAATGGATGGATAAGAAGTTGTACATGAAATGGAATTGAAAATTCTGTGGTTATAATCTCCATAGAGATATGTACCAGACTTTATGAAATTGTACTAATTGTACAAGAACATTTTTTGGCAAACTAAAAATAGTCCTTAGGAAAGATCAGAGACATTTTAAAAATAGACAAAGCAATAAGGGGATGAATACAAAATACGATATAAATTACTATACAGAGTTATGCAATGCAAAGTGACTATGGAATTATTCAGGTTTCATATTAAAAGGGGGAGAAACCCCAATGTCAGCTACTGCTTGTAATTCAAAGGAGACAAAAGTTAAAAAGCATGAAAATATCCATAGAAAGATATAAATGCATTTTCTATTACAGGGAAAACTTAGATAGTTCTGTCAGATATTCATGACCCCTTTAAGGTCTCTTTCCTATTATGTATTTCCCTTCAGCAGATACTCTATTTTGGAAAACAAAACCAAAACTACTAAAAGTTTTCACAAAGAGAAAGAGTACTCACAGCAGGAGAAAAACATTTAGGAGAAGTTTGAGGTAAAAAAGGGTAAAGCAAAAAATCAAATGGTACAAGGTATCCTTCTGAAATGGCACATGGTATCCTTCTGAAAACCAAACATAGATGCAAACTGCTTAGTTAGACATAAACAAACCCTTTAGTTTTGGCTTCCTTACATTAATCTATGGGTATATATGTATTGAATTGTATGCACATATACTGAATGCATACTCTGTTCTTAGCACACCATTGTGGCAGTATGTTCACTTTTAGCTTTTGTCAAGACGTGATGCCCATGAGGTAGCAGAAATTGAAGAAAAAGCCATGTTTCTTTTTTCAGTAGGTGCTGTATTGTTTAATGTGTTATAGTAATATGTTCATATGTTTAACATTTAATATGTAAACCATACTAATATGACTATTTTTATGCTATATTTACTTTCTGTGAATTAAACAAAAAGGAGATGTCCAAACCTGCTTCTTGTGGCAACCCTTCAGGGCTGTTGTCAAGCTCTCTTTCAGCCTACCAGATGCCATTTCTACATCTAAAACCCATCAGGTTTGTGAAGTACTAAGCTCAGCCTGGTCTGGGTGGTCAAAAACTCACTGCTCTCTCTGTCTCTCTTCATAGGGCAGTGTGGCCTCCATGAAGGAGAGATGTACTGCATTGTATAGTTTATTCAAGGTGTAGCAACAAAGACTCGACCTTTTGAAGTGAAAACTACCCAAGCATGCATAAATTTATGCACATAACATAAATGGTATATTTTGTACTAAAAATAAAGGAAGTTTATCTCATTAATCTTCACAAAGGATTTTCATTGCATCAGTAGTTTTTGCAAAACTTGAAATTTTCCCTCCATTTTCTCTGTCACTATACCTTCAGCAGGATTTAGATGAGACACAAGATATTGGAGGTATTTTTTTTTTACATATCCACTTGATTTGAACACAGGCATACTGTCTTTAAGCCCCAAATAAGAAAGTTCAGAGTTTTTGTGTTCACAACCCCAGAGTAGGCACAGACAATGCAGCATTTTCTGTCTCCATGTGCTCAAACATAGTTTTTCCAAGATACAGCTATCTCCAAGAAGCAAGCTGCATATACTTGTCCATTCAGTCTGGGGCCTCCCTGCTGCGACAATCAATCATTAGAACCACAGGCAACATTGATTTTATGCAATGTGAGTGCTTATGCATTCAGCACTGTTCTGAGAACAATAAGTTATTGTCTCAGAAGTTGCTGATCTGTTCTCCCTGACCTACCACTACCCAGTTAGCACACATGCTGGCTGGCCAGTTGGCAAATATAAGGCTCAGAACCAGCGGAAAGGTTCAGCTGATAGGAGATGTGTGAGAGCACCGGAGGTTGGGAGAGGTGTGTGCTAAAGGAGAAGACAAGAGGGGATCTGAAACTATAACAGAAGATGAAATAAAAAGAGCAGCAGGAGAGAGAAAGTATGAGAAATGCACTATTCAACCTTGATCAGTTCTGTGACTTTTAGTACTCATGTTTTCATTTTCATTACTTCCAAACAGTAGACCACCTACACGTCTTATAAAAACATTTTATGCACAAGAGAAAGATAGACAATTTATTAAATTATAATAAATGACACAATGTTTTGTTACAGTATTGGGTAACAAAATGCTCTGGGTTTATTATAATTTATTATTTTTTCCAAATTTATATAACTCAAAGGAACAGTTAATGCAATTGAAAGTGTCTATTTAATCTACGTGCCAAAGAGGGCAAAATTCATGAAGGAGATTTCACATAACTCAAAATGTCTGATCATTAGATCTACATTTGTCATGGGACAGAACATGCTCCTTTTCTGGTCTGTATTTCCCAAGGGCAATATTTATATATTACTCTGTATTCTCTTGAAATTTAAGATCAGCAGCATCGTCAAAAAGTTTGGTAAGACAATGGGCTATTTGCATCCAAAAATACCAGATATATAAGGAAACAATTTACATTAGATTTGTGTCAATCACACTAATGCATGCCTCTGTTAAAGTGGATGACTCTCTGACTGTTGCATGATTACTACACACAAGGTTTTTTAAGGGGAAAAGCCGGACCAAAATGATAAATCAGTGAAAGGAGTTAACTACACTTCTGTCAGTTGTCAGAAGAGTCTGAAGGACAGAGCTCAATATAAAACTGAGAAATCTTGAAATTGTCATTATTTATGGCCAACGCTTATTCTACAAATGGCCTTATTAAGGTCTAAATGCCTTTTCTAGCTACACATCTCTCCAAAGACCATGGACTTGAAAATCATTGTCTACACACCAGCACGCTCTATGCCTGACACCTAAAACAGAAGACTTGTTTGCTGGCCTTGTGTGTGGATGAAACAAATCACAGAGATTTAGTAATGTGGAGAATCTATAAGGGCCTACCATCATGTTTGAAAAGGCTCCACACTCAAGCCTTCATCACCTCTGAAAGCATCAGTTCTTCTGAGTTACAACTCACAGCCCTTCAAAAAAAGGTTTCGCCTGAGGCACACTCAAAGCTGTAGCACTCAAAGAATTGATGGCTGCGGCTGGATAGACTGAGGCCAGGAGTATCATCTGGCATGTAGATAACATAGTATGAAGCTTCTGAAATACATCAAAGTGCCTGTACTTTTATACAGATGGGTGTCACAAAACCTAGGAGATCATTGTTCAGTTGAGGAACACAGAGGGATAGCTACAAAACCTTCCTTGTGCAAGGGGCAGCAACTCAGTCAGTAACAGCCCACCAGACATCATAGATCTTCCAGTCTCACTGATCATCACTATGCATTGCTTGCCTGACATTTGACCAATCCATGCTAGAAGAAGAATAGATTTGATGATCTCATTGACCTATTCCATCTCTAATTCCTGCAAACCTACAAACCAAAAATCCAAATAAATGCAACTTCCATGTGGCTAAATTTCCAGGAAAGACAGATCAGGATTTGTAACTTGTCTCTCATCTCTTCTTGCTGAACACCTTGTACTCGTCTTATCTGGGAGAAAAAAATGTTTCCTATCTTTCTTAGGCAAAATGTTCCTATTTTCAAAGTAAATCAGAAATTTGCTCAGAATAAAGGTGCAGTTTAATGATATTATCAGCTCACAAGGTTAGCTGGAAAACTTCCCTATCTGTAGGGAAAATGAAGTACATTATTACACAAAGAGGCTCAGCTGTTTTGGCTGTGTTCCTCTTTAAAGGATGTCTAGCAAGTCTGCCGGAAAACCAAAGCAGAAGAAAGGAAAAAGTATGTGCTTGCTTTCTAAGTATACAGCCAAAGCTTCTTCACAAAAAGAGAGTCTGAAAAAGAGACAGAGATTTTAATGATCACCTTAAAGCCAGGAATTCCCTCCCAGTTAAGGTAAAAGTCAGACCAAGCATTAGAACAGAACAATATAATCCACTATTGATTTAAAACAATAACAGTGAACACAGCTGTAAGGAACAGAGAAGGTGGCAAGCCTTTTACCTTTCCTTTCTAGAAAATGAAAGGGAACATTATTTAATTCAGACTAAGGAAACCAGGGGAATGGAACTGTGCCAGAAAAGTCTCCCCAAAAGGTAAGTCTAGGAAGGAGAAACTCCTCTTCAACATTCCAAAGAGTCCAGCCTTAGCAAGTAAAGGATGAGGAAAAAAATTTCTAACTCAACAGGGCAGTAATGAGCAGATAAATTTTAAAAAAAGAAACCACCAAAACAACAAATAACAAAGTAGATAAGAATCAGTTGAGTGGAGGAGGAAAGAAACCATTTTTTAAAAAGATACATGTATTATTTTTGATGTACGAAGAGTTAAAAACATGAAACCACGTTGGTATTGACACAAGAACAATTAAGGATCAAAAGATTAAATTATGTTTGACTGATGCACTCCAGCTTTTAGCTTGATATCTCTCAGAATAAAAGTCATGTCTCAAGAAACAGATTTGTGTTATTTTTGGTGGTTTTTTTTTTAACTTCCTATTGCAACATTTTCCTGCAAGAAGAAAGACTGTGACTGTAAACATGGCTGCCTCTAAAGTCAGGAAGAGTGAATGCAGGTGGGAAGTTCAAGGCATTCCTGCGAGTGTGTGGAAGGAGGACTTTGGCTGCACAAATCCACCACGTCCTGTTGCAGGTGTGAAAGAAGGACTTCCAGAGCATGGATAGGGAAAAAGTGAATTTGATCCAAACAGAACATACTTTGAAGACATTTCTGACATCATGCCATCCCTAAGTTATGAGCCAATGCCTCAAGTTGAGCTGGTCATGTAACAAGCAGTAGAAATTCAGTATGTCAGATAGGAACAAATGACAAAAAATCATTGGAACATCTCATACCTGCACAAAAAGGAAACAATCTGACAGCTCTCATTTCCTGCTTGTTGCAGAACTACACTTTGAAACAGTTTGTAATCATACTGGAAATTTTACCTCCGCTGCAGAGCTTCAGAGCTTTCATACATCTTTGGCTTTCTTGTAGCTTCCATCATATTTTCTTTATTTGTTATATCAGTCTTCCACTGCTGTAGAGAAAGAGAGGGAGGTATTTCAACTCTCAAATTTATTTTTTCTACTTCAAATGGTTTACTAAACTGGGACAATAAAAACATGGGAAAAAGAGCTGGAAGAACACAACTAATCAGCTTGTTTTAAGTTCTATTTCTTAGATGGAAAAAGAAAAAAAAATTAAAGCCACAAACACCTATTGTGACAGTGTTTAGACTGAATATGAAGGAAAAGTAAAATGAACAGAGAGAACTGCAAATACCACTGATGATACCTTAAAACTCTTCAACAAGATAAAATTGACAGATTTTAGCAGAATTATTAGAGTATTTCTGCTCATGCAAGGTCTATGCCTTTTTCAACAAGCACCATGAAGAAACTTACGCATGTTAAACACCACAAATAATTTCATTGCTCTTAACAGGGTCCTCAGCTTGTACAAAAAATACTTTTTTAGCATATAATGAAACATGCTGCTGTCAATGTTTCTAAATTGCAGATTTTAACAATTAGAAATATATTTGAAATTTCAAGCACAGAATTTCCCTATGGAATATTATCCTACACTAGATTTTCAGAATTGTACATGGTGAGGACTTTCCCTAGATCTGTGGATTGAATTACAGTTATATTGGCAACACAAAATTATCACCTTTACTGTGCAAGGGTTCAGTGACTTTTTTTGGTCAGAATGAACAATTAAGGCATAATGCTTTGTGTCAGTTCAAGAGTTTATGTTGCTTGTTGGAATTGCCTTTAGCCATTAATAAATAACAGATCTTAAACTTGTATTTCTACCATCACTTTCCTAAATGATAAGGACTTTGCAGAGAAGATTTCTGCACCTCGGCAGTATCATATCTCTATGTGCCTTCACACAAATAAAAAAAAAAAAGCTAACAAAGAGTAAGTAAAAGATATTAAAGACATCTGAAGGAATGACACACAGATCTTTGTCTCAAATTGTGACACCAGCAGCTTCCAGTCCATGTGAAAGGAAAACAAGGCAGATAATGACTCTGATGAAGATACCACATGCATTGAAATTCTATCCAAAGGGAAATGACAGAATCTGCCACGCTTAATTTACTTTGCCCCCCTTTCATTTATTCATTGAAATATACCACAAATTTACTTTTCAGAATCCCTTGCATCTGAAACTAGAAAAGCAAACAAACAAAACAAAACCAAAAAAAAAACCACAGAAAAAATTGCACAAATCAAAATTATTTATCAGAGGAACTAAAGCTGACAAGAGCTTAACAAATTCTCCTGCAATTGTTATTATTGTATATCATAAGAGAAGACATTGCTAAACACTGAAAATGGACAGTATATTATTAAAAGATTTTCAAAAAATTTAAGGAATTACAAGCTTAGAAAGTTGTTATTTTTTTAAGTCCTACATGGAGACAATAATGTTTTTAGAATATGTGTAATTACACAGCATAAATGCAAATTCCCAGTACTAACATCTGGAGAAAATGTAAATCTGCAATAAAGATTCAGGAAGAAAAAGTTTCACCTTGTCAAGTACATCAAGGGAGTGAATAATATTGATACAATAATAATATTTCTAATAATTAAATTCTTATTTGATTGTTACCTAAAGTTTCAAGCAGGTGTTTACTGGACTTTAATAAAGGATTTTCTATTCTTTTACGCTTTTGGTAAAAAAATTCCATGGCAGTCCATGTTTGGCTGATTTCTTCCAAAGTCTGGGAATAATAAGAGCAATAATAACATCTGTCTATATATATATATCACATTTCATATTGGGAATTGAGGAATTTAATTAAATTATATGCAATTCACAGTGTTGGTAAACTATACCACAGACAAGAAGTTCATTTTGCTAGGCTGTGAATTTTGATACTTAGGTAAGTCACATGAAACTATTCAGGTCTATGATTAATTTCTTGAAACAAGACCTAAACAAACAAATAATTTGTTACATACTATTCTGCAAAAACAGAAGGGAAAAAAATTACATCTCTCACCTTTTCAGTACTCAACTCTTGCACAGCATTGACAACTACACTTTGGACTTCATCTTCTACCTTTATGAACCTGGAGTCCCAGGAGGTCTGAGAAGGTCTTCTGCTACTGAAAGCCCAACCTGTAAAGAAAAGAGAGAGCAGGAAGCAAATTAAGTCAATGAAAAAGTCCAACATAAGCATATAACAAAGTGTTCAAATGGAATCTAACTAAAAAACACAATTAAATAAGTTAAATGTACTCTATATACCAGATACATGTTCAGATTTGCCACCGAAGTGTGGACTTAATCAGCCTAGCAGAAATAGTTCTTGATGCTGTTACAGGTTTAGGGTTCTTTTGCTTTGTTTTGTCTTGTACTCTGGTGTTTTGTACTTCATAACACTAAAGGTAAGTTTATTTGCACAGCTGCCCCTAATGCAAAATACAGACTTAGTGTCTGAGACTAGAAACCCTGGGGAGTGTTGGAGATATTTGCATTATTTTGTGGCTTCTTCTTAGGACTAATGAAATTCAGTTTAAAAAACCCTAAAAATTCTATCAATTATTTGAAAAGGTAATGGTCAATTATTTTTTCACTTTCTTTTTGATAAAATAAATCACAATTTTATGCTAATACTGTTACGAGGTCCCTGTATGAAAAATAGGTTTAAATGTGCTTTCATTAAAACTGTATGTGATTAATCATTGGTAAACTGAAGACAAACAGAAAAAATCTGTTACACACTCTGCTACGCTTTCAGATTCAAAGCTTTTTAATCTTAAAAATGAAAAAAAAAATGGAACTTGTTCTTCAATATTTTTTCTCAAAATGGTTCAGAAGAATTTTATTAAAATTTTGAAAACCAACAAGTTCTACATGTTATAGCCTATGAACCAAAACCACCGGGATTTTTTTGACAAAAAAAAAAGTATCAGAACTGGGTAGGTGGAGTTCATACTTTTGAAGCAATTTAGGAGAAAACATCTAGGATGAAATTTGATTTTTCTCTTAAAAGACTAATAAATAGGCATGCAATAGAGATAATTTCTTTCTAAATGAAATAAATACTAAACAAAAAGAAATTTTATACCTGTTATGTTCAAGACTTTGTATTCAACCTCTGTGCTGTCTGTGAGGCATAGCTGTAGTGTCCTGCAAATAGTCTGGGGAGTCTTTGTTGCTATCTTCACTTTGCACTTCTCTTGTCCCTTTGGAATTTTCTTCTGCAGGGCTACTGTCAACAAAACATTGAAATATTTCAAGCAAAAGAGGTGCCCTCCCTTTAAAAATGAGCACCTTCCCTGCAGCTCCCAATCCCCTGCAGCTAAGCCTATGAGCAGAGCAGGTGAACCTCTGCAAATTCCCCCTGTAAAAGTGATTGTTGTCTGGAGGGGTCTGCCATAAACCCCCATCCTCTTTTTTTATTTCCCATATTGCCTCAACTCAGAGAAGTCACAGCATGATTTACCATACAATTCCACAGGGGCTGCAAACCCATTCAGAAAAATAGTTTTAAAGGAAAGCCCCAAAGGAAAGCATGATCCAGAACATTCAGCTTGGACATGAGTAATAAACCCACTAAAATATCCAAGTGGGTGGGAAGAGTGAGGAAGGGGTGGCACTGAGACAGACAAATTGCAGAAATAGATGGCTGTGGAACCTGCCTTGGCAAACCTTCTGAGCTGCACATCCATCTGTTCCACATTAATCTCTCTCCACTGGGTTTCAGTCCAATCATCAATGCTGCTCTGAAACAGAAAGTACAGATAAAAGCATCACAACATTTGGTGAAGACAAGCTCCTGCCACAAACCAGATAAGTGGATGCAGGGGCAAGCCCACCCTACAGCAAAAGTTCATGGGCCTAAATTTTTTCCTACACCACCATTACTTTTCAAACACACATAACAATCCATCTTCTCTAAATTCAACTCAAAGACCAAGCATGTTAACAGTTTCATGTTTCAGTATCTGATAAAAACATATCTGCACAACTTTCTTGTGCTGTCAGACACACACCCATGCACACAGGTAACATACAAATGAACCTGGGAGATTTTGGGAAGCTGCCCTGCAACTCCTCCTGGGGGTGCTACCAACCAAATTACAGAAAGAAGACCTAATACATGTATTTTTAACCTTGCCTATAAAAGGAAGCATCTTGAAGGAAACAGAACTTTGCAAGACTCATTCCCCATACAGATCTGTACAGTGACTTTTCTGGACTCTTGCCTCTAGATTTGTAGAGCTTTCTAATGTACAGTTCTGAGTTCTGAATTGGATTTTATGGATTTCTGAATTTTTACTCAGTTACTTACACTAATCAAGCAAGTTCTAGGTATTAAGAAAGCCCTGAAGGAAACTACAAAGTTTGTTTTGCTTTGGGATTATCTTGAAATTGGTTGACTTGGGAACAGAGATATTTTTACTCTGGGTATCCTAAAACATAGCAACTATCATTTCAAAAACAAAAGGAATAGTAAAATCTTCAGTATTTAACTTTTTAAAATCAAAACTATTGCACTCCTAGGATCAAATTACAAATCTAACATTCAAATATAAGTTTATAAGTAATCTGTAAGTAATTTTAAGAAAAATCTTACATTAATATAAACATGAAGATCCCACATTTTCTTGAGGAATTGCACTTTTCAACATTGTTTCATGCGCTTGTAGCCTGGAATAGATACTTCAAATAGTTTTGCAGATAGATTCCCACATTAGAAACATTTATTTTTCCAGCATCTCAAGCTCTTGATTTGCTGGAAGAGGAAAGGAGCACTCAAAGCACAGTTGTAGGGTATATTGAGCTTACTTAACCCGTCAGTGAAATATATGGATCCTGCATATATGATTCAAGGTAAGAAAAGCTGAGAGAATTATGGCAAAGAGGCTACAAAGCTGCATTTGCATTGCCTCTGAAAGCACCCAAAAGCCTACAAATGACTCTGCATTGAAACCACAAAAGAAAAGCTGCATATAAAGAAGTTAATTTATATTCTTGCATTCTTTAACTTCTTAAAGCACTTCTTCCTAAAGTTGTATAAATGTTAACAAAGAGGTTCTAAAAAAGAGACACTTAATAGTCTACTTTAGGCTATTCTACTCAAGGCCACATTATGCTGTGTAAAGGAACATAAGAAAGTATTCAGAAATTTAATTTTTTTTTTTTTGGTAAGCATATGCAACACTGGAAGAGTAACAAGAAACCTGCATTTGGTGGCACTAGAATTATAACAGCATCTTGAGAAAAAATCCCCAAACCCACAAATAAAACTCCCCAAAACACCAGTAAAACAAAAAACCCTCCAAAACAATCCCTCAAAAAAACCCCAAAAACAAACAAAACAGCCCAGCAAAACCCCAGAAGTTCCAACTCACAAATATTTTTAATGTGTAAATTGAAATATCATTAACTTTTGTACTGAAATATTACAAGCAAATATGTTTTTCTGAGAATCCTCATCACCTTTTTGAGATGAGCATATGGATTTTCTACACCAAATGGAAAGGGAGCTTCCATTTCAAATCTTTCTCTGAATCCCATCTGCTTACCCATGAAGAACAGGTAGTGACATTTGTCACTGATTATGCTCGTTCTTATTAAGAAAAACAGAGACAAAAAGGGCTGATCCCCAAATTCAATATATGTCAAGTAAAGTGCATTTTCTTCTGATTAACTGCAATGTCAGATACCTCAAGAGGAATTACTTTGTGCTATACTGACAGAGCTCTATTCCTCATGGCATTCTATTCTTTGGGCAATTCCTATTTAACAGAGTAACATTTTCTTTAAACAAAAAAAAAAATCACACATGGTAGAAATACACCAGTAAGATGTGTATATTAACAGTGAGAATATCCCTGCATCTACTCATAAATAAGAAATTAGAGTGGATGAATTATTTAACCAAAACTACACTCTATGTCATAGCTTTTATTAGAATTTTTTAGAATTCATTTCATGGATCACTGGTAATTATAAACTATTTAAACTTAATACACTCAGTTATTTTAGGTATAATCACATAAAACTTCATTTTAATTATGTTGGGAATCTTCCCCACAGTAAAACAGAGTTCTACTCCTGCTGCTATACCCACTTTCAAATATGTAAAGATGACCTGGAAGTAGCTTTCTCATTCCACAAATCCCCCCACAAAAAAAACTCAGTAAACCACGTGAAAAAAAATTCCATCAGGATGAAAAATATACCTTGACATGTGGCTTTTGTCTGTAGCAAAATACAAGAAAGGGAAGTTCAAATCTGAATCACTTCAGAGTAACTAGAAAATCAGCTAAAGGTACACATCAAAAGATCCTATCAAAAATATTAGACCAGATGGGCACAGAAATAGAAATTTCACCATGGACTGGCAGTGCATATCCCAAAACAGACCAAATAAAGGTTTCTCATTTCTCATATGCAGATGCTGCTGTTAAAGCAATGTTTTAATAAGTTCTTCTTTTAGTGTCAGTAGGAAACACTACGGCTGTAGTATTTTCCCATCTATTCCTCTCACCATATTTTTTTTCATTCAGAAAAATTACACTTGCCACTCATAAAAATTATAACTGGGAGGGGTGTGGGGCAGAATATATAGAGAAAAAGGTGGCTGAGGATGTCTGTAAGACAGCACCACCTAACAGTCAAGAAATTCTACCTTTTGAAAACATATATAACAGTGCCAAACTACTGCTGCCTGTGATATGAAAGGCAAGGAAGTTTAGATTGGATATTAGGGAAAAATTTCTTCCCTGAAAGGGCTGTCAAGCAACACAACAGGCTGTCCAGGGAAGTGGTAGAGTCACCATCCCTGGAATATTTAAAAGCCTCGTAGATGAGGCAGTTAGGGACATAGTTTAGTGGTGGGCCTGGAAGTGCTGGGTTTAAGGTTGTGTTTGATGATATTAGGGGTCTTTTCCAACATGAATGATTGCATGATTCTATAAAAATATGTGAGGCTTAAGATTCTAAGGCTCTTTCATACCCTAGAAAATTACTGTCATTTTTTGACTGTGAAATCAAAGACAAACATCAGTTACATATTTAGTTACAGTTCTAAGTACACACCTTAGGATCAAAATTCACCATCAGGAGTTGGTTTTGAGGATTATGCCTAATTTGGTTTAAATTAAACTGACACATTTACTCCACATGAACATTCCACTTACTGTAGGTCTGATCTTCATACTACTCAACAGATTTTAACTTCTCCACATATTTCCAAGAAATAAAGGTATTTGCTGGACTTTCTAAGAAGGACTTTCTAAGTGGACTTTCTGCAAGGCAAAAACCCACACCTAACCAGTTTTTTTTCTTTTACTGATGAACAAATGCTGGTGGAAAGTTTTTGTGTTCCCCTCCTTGCATGCTATTAGCTATGTCAGTTTTCAATGTTGGACTTGGTACTACACAATAATTTAATTCATGTGTGTCTAAAGCTCTCACTGGAGCTTCCATCCTCTGTGCTCCCACCTGAAAGCATGTTTGCTTGGGATCAGGACAAGAGGAAGGGACAGAGCACCATTTTCAAATAATTTGGATGTCTGGGTCCCCCATAAGTGTCTTTGAAAGTCTTGTCCTCATACAAGAATAAAACTCTTTATGGTCTCCAATGAAAAGTAGGACCAAAATGTCTGTACTTGTTCCTTCAGTTATTTAGAACATTTCAGCTTTCCCAAAGTAACCAGCATATTTTTGTTAATGATTTAATTATAACCTCCTCCTCATCCCCCTACTTCTTAGAATATAAATTAAGGTATTATGAACCAGCAGGAAAATGCACTTTTGTTTTAGCATTGTTCAATACCTTTTTAATGTGTTCATCATGTTCATTTGCAGTTATCTAGTTCTTCACTAAACAATTGCAATGAAATATTGCAATTTGGGCTAATTATCTTCTCAGACAGGGTTTTTTTAGAAAGCTTCCAAGATGGTTGAAAGTTTAAAATTAAAATAAAAAGAGAAAAAAATCAAGCAGCAGAGAAGGCAGTAGAGCTCTCATTCTGTAATAATCTCAACATGAAATCTCATCCAAAATATTTCTGAAGTGCAGAGACTGGCACTGAACCAAGCTGTACTATTGGTATGCGTTACGTGCTTACCAACAAACCACATATTTCTAAATATGATCTTAAATTGTCCCCAACAGATGAATTCTAGAATGCTAAAGAATTACAGATTAGCTCAGATCCTAAAAAGTACGGAACTAGGCTTTCCAGATCTAGACATATACCCCACACTCTTGATACTTTCTAAATCACAGAATGACAGAATATTCTGAGTTGGAAGGGACACAAAGATTGAGTCCACCTTCTAAGTGAAATTCTATCCTGTACTTTTCTCACTTGTTTGTTTTCTCCCCTTTTTTTCCCTCAGATATATTCTCTCTCATAAGTCACTTGGCTCTTCCTCCCGAGTCTCATAAAAATTCCAAGTCTTACTTGTAAACTAATGTTTTCTAGAGAAGAAAAAAGCACCTACTCCTGTAAAAGCTTACCAAACAAGTGGCAAGCAGAAGTGATTTCTTTAAGTTGCCTTCCACTCTTGTTGGTATGTGTAAAGTTAAGACAAGTTATCAGCCTCTTGAAAGAGTAGATGCAATAATGTATATATTGTCTGAAATCAGTGAGAAAACAAGTTTGGAAAGAAACAGGGTAAACATTAAATGCAAGACACTAATTTAATTGCTAACAATGCCAGAAGTGTCTACCTAAGGAAAATTCATTTATTCAAAATTAGTAGC